TGGGTGCGTGTACTTAAGTACGCGCGTGAGAAGTTATACTTCTTTTTGGAATTATTAAAAAATAGTTTTTAATTGCATGCAGATAATTAATTACATTAATATAATAAAAGGATTGGAAAAGGATAGTCAACGCAGTCAATAAAGTTCAGTTTTAATTTGAAAATTTTAATAAATAATCAAAATAGTCAATTTAAATCACTACTGAATAAAATTTATTAGCACATATAAATTTCGCATTTGTATAACATTATAACACGTGTTAAGAATATAGAAACTAGAAACATGTGGATAAATATTATAAATATGAAAACAGTGATCAGAGGCGACGAGCGTCCCAACATGTGCGACTAAGAGATCCTATTACTATTTTGTTGGAAGCTTTTTTTCGAGACTTACGAGTAATGTGCGGTTTAGCGGCCGACTTCATAGTGTTACTTTTCTGTTACAGTGTTGCGCGCGCATCTTAAAATTTCACTCTCATCATTTTTTCATAACGCGCCCGCGGGTAACTTCATTATGTTACTTTTGTGTTACAGTGATGCGCGCGCATCTTAAAATTTCACTCTCATAATTTTTTCATAACGCGGCTAAAGAAGTATAACTTCAAAAACATCTAGCAGTTAAAAGCTTAAAAAATAAATAAAACATAAGTAGGTGATGTTTGCATTTTGTGACTAAAATGACCGGAATTTTATCGAAATGTCCGGCTTTTTGTCAGGACTTTTCAAATTTTTAAATAGTTACCCTATGTGTGGGTGATGTTAGCGCGTGTGTATGTTTAGGTGTTGTGTAGGTCAATGTCGGTCGTTACACGCGCGGCGCCATCGTCTGCGCGCACGCACAATTACGTAAGAAAAGCCACGCCTACAATGAACTATTTTTCTTTCCGTATCTATTTGATTTACCTATACTAATAAAAGTATTTTTGTGGAAGGCCAGCATGCGGTTCCCCTTAATTTGCCCCTGTAACACGACGTTTTATTATCACCAACTTATTTATATCCCACTGGTAGTCAGTGGCGGGGCAAGACCTAAATTTGATGTGGGCAAGACAGATTTCGCGAGGCCCTGTTCTGTGGCGACCTGAAGACGGATTTTATAAAATAATAAAAAAAAAGAAATTCGCTTTTAAGCAATTCATAAAAAATTCTTGAGGCGCGAGGCCCCTAGTACTGCGAGGCCGTTGGCGGTGGCCTACGTCGCCCACGCCTTACGCCGCCTCTGCTGATAGTGTACTAGGTCTTTTACAGGAATAAAATAGGAATAACGGACCATGACCCATCGCGCGGATTGGTGGGTGTTCACGATTGTTATTGCTGCCGAGACCAACGGGGTAATGTGTCTTCCGAAGTACAGAGGAACTCGATAAATTTTTGGTCACTTATTTTCTGTCAACTTAACCATAGGGCAGGACATTGTGGAGCACTTTTAATCTGTAGTCCTCTGATTACGACTTTTTGGAATGTCTATTTCTTACTTATCGCTATTCAATATTAACAGCCAAATCTGTTAAGAATGCATTAAGCAATTAATAAGTAATAAAGAAACAACACAATCATCATCATCATCATCAGCCAATTAATGTCCCCACTGCTGGGGAACAGGCCTTCCCTATGGATGGTATAGGGAGATTGGGCCATGACCCACCACGCAGGCCCAATGCGGATTGGTGGGTGCTGACGACTGCAGAAGCAGCCGAGACCAATAGCTTAACGTGCGGAGGAGCTCGAGATAGTAAATTTTTGGTCACCCAACCAATGACCGACCACTGCGAAAGTTGCTTAACTTCAACGATCGCAGCCGAACGCGCTAACCACTTGCGCCATCGAGCTCCTCATATACAATATGAACTCTCAAATCATTACACAGTTTTCACTGGGATTGTATATATGGACAAGAGGGACGGCACGGCGGCGGTCTTAATTTTATCAAGACCCGTATCGCATAAACACTCATGATGCAATAATCATTATACCTTAAAAGATTTCTGTAGATTATCAACGATCTTCGAATGAGGTTATAGGTTATCCAGCAGTCAAAGTTACGAGCAGTCATGATAGCAACAAGACCTATCGAGCAAAAGGCTCGTGGAATTCATATTATAATGTAGATAACCATAAAAGTGATAATAAAAATTGTTTCAATTGATTATTTTCTGGACCCAGAGGCGGCCTTACCGATTGCGAGGCTCCGGGCGGCAGGTCTTTGCGAGGCCCTTTGTCCTTCGTGAAAAGTATGTGATGCGAAAGTAGGTCTGGTTGTTTGGTTTAGGTATTTGTCATGTTTAAGGAAAAATGCTTAAATTATACAAATAAATCAAATTTGAATTTTAAAATATTTTACATTGAAAGATTCACAAAATTAACAAATACAGAGATGATAAATTTTAAAATTGATGTTTGCGGCTTTTCCTAAGACTAAAATCTTTAATTAAAGCACAATAATCTAACGAATAAGCTACGTCATTTTCGATTGAAAGAATAGCGAGGGCTGAAAGCCGATCTTGTGTCATTGAAAAAATAGTTTTTTTTTAATATATTTTTAAAATTTGCTTGGGTTGTTGCGCGAGGCCCCTGTAGGAGCGAGGCCCCGGGCGATTGCCCTGTTCGCCACCCCCTAAGACCGCCACTGTCTGGACCTATTGTGTTAGGAGTAAAAAAAACGTTGGCTAGCTGCAAACTTTCCTTCGTTTTTGCTAATTTTGGACACACTAAAGGCTTTTCATTCTGTATAAAACTCTAGTGCTGACCGTTATTACGTAGAAGTAAAAATTAAGATGTCTTGGGGGGAACAGAGGTGCGCGGGTGGGCGTGCGTTGCGCCGATTGGCTCTCCAGTCGTACCCATGTGCTGCTATCCCCTCCGCGTTTTGTTCAGCGCTAGAGGTGTGGAAGCTCAAAGTAAGTATTAAGGAAGTACATTCAGCTCATTTAGATGGCAGTGAGTAGGGATGACCAAAAACTTACTATCGAGAGCTTCACCTGTCGGTGCAGCATCTACCAATCTGCACTGGGCCAGCGTGGTGGACCTTGGCCCACCTTTATAGGCAAGGCTTCTACCCCATCAATGGGGACATTAATAAGCTGACGATGATGATGAGCAGGGAAACGGGTAGATGAGTAGGTAAGCATGACACTTCTTATTCAACTTGCATTTTTTTGAAACTTTTGTTGCCCGGCGCGCTTTCCAAAATTTCTTGTCTACACACGACACGCTTTACCAGGTATAGGTACGTACCTGGATGTTTTTCCCCGCCCCCCACGACAACGGCTAACTGAGCCAAAGTCCTCAGAGACGCCCTCTAGTTGAACTGACCCCCTCAGGTTCGAGTGGCCTAGAGGCTCGAGACGGAGAGGAGACTCCCCCGTGTGGAGATGCCATCCGCCTGGAATACCTCTAGATACACTCGGCAATTCTCGGCTTGAGGTCCTTTTAGGATCTCGCCGTTCCCAAACCCGGTAACGCTGTAAAGGTCATCTGCGACCAACAGCATACACAGTCAAAAAAAATATACTGTATTTTGATGACAGCTTTTTATACAGCAGTCAAGCAACGCAGAGCAAGCAGCAATTAATGCGCGTCTGTTTATATTCAGCTCCGACACTTACTTGTTGATGAACCTTTTTTAATACGAGCTGGGCAATTTGCTTGCTGAAAAACATATTCCACTGGAGTCCGAAAACACTGCTTACATTTTTGAACAAAGTAAGTGCTTTATTCCAATCACAACATTTTCGATGTCTGCCATTTTCGAAAACTCACATTTGCTTTTGATCTTGCAACTACAGTATTTTAGGAATTAATGTTGATAATCGAGGAGAAATAATTGCAAAATGTTAATGAGAATAAAAATCTCAAGAGGGCCTAGACAATTCTAATAAAACAGATGTTGTGGCTGTGTTTACAACCAAAAATTGTAGAAATAATCATTATTATCAACTAATTCTCAGTAACGAGAAATGTTGTGTTAAAACTTATAGGGAGGATGCCTAAGAAAATTATATCAAACTAAGATAAATATAAATCTATTTATCTCTTAAAGGTACACGTCAAAAGTATCTAGGGATCAAATATTCAAATACCTAAGTACGTACGTAAATGTTGCGCCACAGTTAAATTTGGATCAATTTCTCACAATTAAAAAACACCGTTAACTGTTGTTAACTTTTAGTTTATTAAGGGGCTACTTAGTTAACTTAAAAGTACATAGAAATTAATTTAAAAGGCCAATCTGAAAGATTAAGTTTATGAAATGTAAATTGAATGTTAAAAAAATAATTGTGCAGGGGCTTTTCATGTTTTACTTGCACATTTATGAATCAAAATATTAAAACAATTGAAATCTATTAATTCCATTTACATCATCGGTTAATAAACACACATTAAATATTCATAGGCTGACTAGCAAGTAGATATTGTAATTATTCCAAACAACGGGCACTAGTTTCAAAAGAGAACCTTATGGCATTCATATTACAGACATATATTATTCAATATATCAAAAATAAGTGTGATCCCAATTTGCTGAATAGCTAAAATATAATAAAAGGAACAGCACAGTAAGTATGTAGCACAGCCTTTAAATTTAATTTCATACAATAAAATATAATGTCTAAATGTCTATTTTTTTCCTAATTTATTTGGTATGTATGACAAATTAAAAAAAAACTAAATATGTAGATACATATTATTTAGTATTTATGCAACGTGTTGTTATCATGAATAATTATCAAAGTTTGAATTATTAACAATTTCTGTTTTATTCCATTGCATTTTTTAAAAAATAATAGTTCAAATAAGTAGTTCAAGTTTTTTTTTTAGTTTAAATAAGTAGTTCAAGACCGATTACACTTATAAGTATTTATTTAATACATTGCAGTATTGTATCTTAAAGCTAAATGTAATATCAACTGTTCAAACTACGCAAAAATACCACATGAATTTAAATGATACGAACACTGCGTGATGATACCAGCTATAATAATACTACTGTTTGTTTACCTTTTTTACTAGGTTGGCAGCCATGAAGCCTCCCATATTGCCAAGGCCAAGGAAGGCCACATTTTTGTCGGCCTTTGAACTGTACGCCCTAGAGAAAGTTAACAAACACTGAGTGCGGGCCGCCATTTTGTTTCTGTATTTAGAAGAACGTTCGACCACGGCGCGGGCGCAGCGCAACTGGTTGGAATGGTTCGAGTTTGTTTTTAGTGCCACCTTTTAGTGATAGTCACGGTTACAGTAGGATAATGAACCAGTAACTCGTTTGTGGCGAGAAAACTTCTACCTAAACAGAGCTTTAAATCAATACTCACGAGATTCCTGTTTTCAACTCCATGCTTAGATTATTTTTATTTGAATATCCGTGGCCGAGTGGTTTGTACGCCGGGTTTCAGTCGCCGACTGTAGAGGTCCCGGGTTCGAATCCCGGTAGGGGCAGATGTTTGTGCAATGAAGACGAGCATTTGTACTCCAGTAATGGAATTATAAATGTGTATTTCTTTAAAAATATACTTATATACATAAGTATGTACAGTAAATGTATTCCATCCGTTACCCTAGCATCCCATAACACAAGCCTTATAGTGCTTACTTTGGGGCTAGGCTAATTGGTGTATTGGAAATATTACAAAAAAATAGAAATAAGACTGGGAAAGTTTCAACGCTGAGTTGCCGATTCTTCTCAGTACAAGGTCTTCCACCGTAGATTTGCAAAATGATTTCGTAACTTCTTGACCTTCACAATTGCTTGTACTTGCACAACAGCCTAGACTCAATAAATGATTTTTTAGTATAATTTTATACTCCGTGCTCCAGCTTAATTCCCAAACTTCTATGATATTAAAATATTATCGGTAGTGGATTATCTGATAGCTTACAATAATTACAGCCACATCCAGCTGTGCGAAATATAGCAGTTATCAACAGCCTCTAATCTCTACTACCCTCCAGCCGATGAGATGTATGCCTCTGAATAAGGCGCTAGTCTTAGGGAAGTAAGTGGACCTGTGAATAAGATTCTCAACATTTGTGTGTTTATTATAAATCAGTTTTTTTTAAAGCGTGTCGAATAAGCAATATTATGTGTGTGTATGTGTGTGTGTATGTGTGTGTGTGTGTGTGTGTGCGTGTGTGTGTGTGTGTGTACAATATATACATGTATATATATACCGTTCAAGTATTACGTAAGCAGATTTATAACAATTATTTACCCCCTCCTCCCCCTTGTCAGCAAAAATAAGCAAAGCTCTTACCCCCCCCCCTCCCTCCCATGCTTACGTAAACATTGGTACCTTTCAGCATTTTTCCTTTAATGTATTCTGTTTTTTTATTGGTTCGTGAGCTTTCATGAGCTTACTAAGCAGTATACTTAAATAGGCTGAGAATAGAGGACTTTAGCGCACATAATATTCATTTAAACAAACTTTATTGACAGAGTATTCAACGTAGAGTAAAATAAGCAAAGCAAAGGGACTTTGCAGCAGCTTTGGGCAGGGGGGACCCTGCCCTCCTATAGCGCTTACGTACTTGCTGCTGCATACTTGCATTGCCCCATATACATATTTCATTTACTATTATTTATTAGCTATAAGAGAAAGACAGAAAAAAAATATGCGCGCGCACTGCTTTCTCTTGCTTATATCCCCCACTCAACACCCGTTCGCCTCACCCGATCACACTTTTCGTAACGCGTTTGCCAGCTTCCTCCCCAAGTCAAGCGTGCGTTAAGAAGTTTCACTTCAAGATACCACTTTTGGTGTTGCTTACTCAAGGGCGGATCCAGTTTTGGCGCCAGGGGTCATATAGTCATGGTCAAGTCACATTGGGTACAGATTGTGAAGTGGGTACAGGTGGACCTATATGGGGGGGGGGGGGGTCATGACCCCCATGACCCCCTCTCCCCCTAGATCCACCCTTGGCTTACTCTGAACCAATCCCCTATCCCGTGGAGCCCAGGAACCTGTACACACCTGTACGTTACTTGAAAGTAATATTGAAGAAATTTAAAAGCAAAAATCATTCTACTGATTTAGGCAATCAACTGTGCGATTTTGTTATCTTATCAGTACAAGTCCGTTCATAGTTTTCCGAAGATAATAATAAATTTAACGGGTATAATTGATGCATTACATATTCATATGGTAAAGATCTAATAATTAAAATTAGACTTTTTAGTCCTAATACAATTTTATTTTCCATGAACCTCCACGTTAGGTTTGAGTTTTAGGTTTTGGTCTTTGGAATTATAGAAAAATTCCGTACTACTGGTTCTATCGACGTCGCGAAATTACAAAAGTGAAACTAAAATCTTAAACAATATTAGAATCGTTGAAATTTATTCTGCAAAATATTTGTGACTATAAAATTTAGGATTGATAAAAGTGTATTTTTCTTTTGGTAAAGTCATATAATCTCAACGGAATAATTTTAATAATAATATTAATTTTAAACCTACTTACAATGACAATAAATGATAGTACAATTTTGTTGTTTTATATTTACATAGCAACAAAAAAATCAACGAAATACGCCCGACCTTGGACGACTCTTTATATAAACTTTGACGCAAGATAGCGCCGTGTTATAATTATATATGTATTTCCTTACTATATCGCAATGAAAACCCCACGTGGTTCTGTAAATGATGATTGATCAGCATTTTTATCGATGTTCTTGTTTTTCATTTTAAAATTGAGGCGTCCTTTAATTCGTGATCAATGAAAATTATTTTATTTAATAATTTATTGTACACGAAATATTGATGTGTGTTGGAAAGGAGGTGGTGTTTTTTTTTTAGGTGTGGCTTATTTCTCTGAGAAATCTCTTCCAGCCCACCTGCAATAGGAGCTATGCTGGGAGACACATGTCGCGTGTACACTCGCGGAAAGACAAGCTCTGTCACCCATAATGCCATAATCGCTTGCGGTAGCGGCGTAGTAAAAATTCATTCATAGACATGTAATTATCGCTGTCTTACTTTTTCGTATAGCGCTGTCGCGATCACGATGCGGATGACAAATTGCAACTAAAATAAATGCAATTCAATTCATTATTCAATCAATGAAATGCTCTCAGTCTTACTTTTGTGCGGCGGCCCGGATTGGCGTGTCCGACGCGAAGGCGGGGCGTAGTAAAAACTACTGTAGAAAACCAGTCAAAGCATTTTGTTCGCCAAGTGACAGAGCGCAAAATTTCCGCAATAGTACCTACACGAAAAACACAATTATGTTGGTTTTTCTATTTTGTTTTAAATGCTTACTTACTTAAAGAGAATATTACACTAATTACTTAATATTTTTATAGATTTTTTCATCAAGTCTTCTTAATGAAAACTCATTTGAAATTAATTGAATCATGTAAGGACCGTCTAGCCTTACGCTTTAATTAAGAACTACTATTTTAATTTATTAAACTTTTACTATGCAGTATTTTCAATTGGCAAGCAGTTATAAACTGCTGAACCTTCTAATTAAACTTGCTTTAGTTAAATAATACAGATGTATAAGGATTATACATCTGTATATATCTATTCTATAAATATACAAAAGTGCCAGAGCATTGAAAGTGCATTAACATTGTTATTTCGGTTACGATATGTACCTATAACCGTTGGGGTAGACGAGTTTTGGAGTGGAGACCGCGGCTAGGCAAACGTAGTGTCTAAACGTAGGACGTCCTCAGGCACGATGGAGTGACGATTTGCGCAAGGTGGCTGGCAGGAGCTGGATGCGAGTAGCCCAAGATCGATCTGAGTGGCGTGCAATTAGAGAGGCCTATGTCCAGCAGTGGACTAGGATAGGCTGTTGATGATGATGATGATGATGATGTACCTATATAACGTACCTACGTCATTGAACTTCATATTAATAGCTTTAATTTAAATCGTTTGGTTTATGCTTTTAGTTAAATACAATAAGAGCGCATTCAGACGACACGCGCCCGTTAACGCACGCCACGCGCGTTTGCTCCACTCGCTTTGAAATTTGTTGTCAACGATATTAAATATCCTAGATACACCAACACGAACAAAATCATGTCCGCATTTAATATCATTGTTTGTTGTATATATATATATATATATATAATATGAGTCTTATGACTAGAGATCGGAAAATCGAATGCATATTTACCTAATGTCGAGATGTTCGCTATTATGGAAAGCACTTTTTTATGGAAAAAATCCCGTGATCTCAGTTAAACACAAATGATAGTTGATCTGTAACATAAAAATATAGTTTAAGATGTCCTCGAGGACTAAATACTTTTATATTTATTAAGTTTTCTTATTAACCACACCACAATTTTTCTTACACCTTACATACACAGATACTCAGGTGGTAAATCAAAATTTAACTTTAGGTAAATATACATCAGAACAGTTATGCGAACCCCGAATTCATTTTTAATAAAAATATTCTGAGAACTCGTTTCAGTAACTTTTTAGCCAAAAAATATCTTTAGGTATATATGCATCCGATTATCCGACCTTCCGATTATATTCCGATTATCCGACCTTCCGATTATATTCCGATTATCCGTGTCTTAACACATCAATAATTCTCGAATTCCTTTTATCGAAGTCCACCCGCACACGCCATCCGCATACTCCGCGCCCGCCTCGCATCAACGCCGCTCACTCTGCACATGCACTGCACCACCCGCATACGCTTTGCGCCCGCGCTATGACTAGTGTACCTACGTACTTTATGTCTATTGAATGAAGTAGTCCAGCCACTAGTAATATATTGAACTCCACTTATATGTCTGTCGTGTTGTTTTGTGACGCATCAGAAAGATATCTGGTTTAGTATGGTTAGAGTGAGAACGGTGCGACACATCGCGACACACAAGTATAATTCTAACCATACTAAAAATATGAAAGCGATCGCGTATAATATACTTATATATATATTTCTGCCTTAAGAGGGCGCGAGGCATACCCCGGTTTTGTGCGTGGGTGTAAGGCGGACATAACGCCTGTGCGGATCCTGTGCGTGATCGACGCGTGTCATCTGAACACGCCCTAACAGTTAAATAGGTACCTTTACGTGATGTTTACTTACCCAAATCTGACTTGCAAATAGCTGTGTGCAAAAAGGCGCGAACAATAGGTAGGTTATGGCCGTTAACTCAGTTTTGTTGTTATAAAACCCCCGTGTAATTATTACATTAATCAAGCGATAAATGCTACAATAAACTTGAGCGGGTTTTGCTACCTTTGCCCGCCTACGTTGAACCACAAAA